GAATCCTTAAAAGACGAATTAGAAGATCTGGACGAATGTGTGGATAGAGAAACTGTGCTCGACTTAATTCATGAAATAGTTCCCTCACTGATTGGTAAAAAAGGCCTAAAGGGGAGTAAGGGTTCCTCCTATTCATCTGAGTCTTCCGAAGAATCTGATTCGGTTGAGATAATTGAGGGGCCCCATAGGCTTCGGGTAAGAGAAAAAAAGGCTGTCCCTCATAAGCAACGAAGAAGGGCACGACCAAGAAAGGTTAAGTGGATGGTAGTTTGAAGTAGGCTGAGTCAGGCACTTTGCATATTTTTTTCGGTCAAAGATATTAAGTTTAACATATAAATAATCAAAATGGAAAGTGACCAAAAGAATTTGACAGCCTTAACCAATATCCCGCCCAACTCTACTTCATCTGAGACTAGTTCATCCGAATCAAGCTCATCTGAGAGTAGTTCGTCTGAGTCTAGTTTATCTGAATCTAGTTCATCATCTGAGAGTAGTTCATCTGAGTCTAGTTCATCCGAATCCAGTTCATCCGATTCTGATATTGATGAAATAGTAAATATGATTAAGCATCAAAGGATTCGGAAACAGATCCTGAAGCGCCAAGCCCAAAGGAAAGATTCGGAAGAAAATACATATAGCAAAAAATAGCCGTAAAGGCGTTTCGCAAGGCCTAATTAACTACCTAATACCAGTCCAGAGCGCTGAATAGATCTTTATTTTTTATATTTGAAATAATATATGCCATAATTAAATGGTTCTTGTAAATTGCTCAGTTGAAGAAACCGGTCCCACCCAAGCAGTACTCGATACAGGCGCTGATGTAAGTTGTGTTAGTAAAAAATATATTGATAGAATGGGAATGGCATACGAAAAAGATGATATCAATCCTAGAGTAAATGGGAATTATTCCACATTAGGGAAGGTTAATCTATGTATTACCTTGAATGATGGCAAAAAGCATAAAAGCATACTCACTGAATTCATAGTCGTTGGACCAGATTGGCCCGACTATTTTCCTGATTTAACTTTGGGGGTACCATGGTTGCGAAAAAATAGTGCAACTCTGGATATATGTAATTCAAAACTATTATTAGACGATAATTTTGCGATCCCATTCAAAGAAGTACTTATGCAGTATCCGGAGCAGAATAATGATTATTTAGAGTGATCGTGCATTACCAGCCTTCTTTTTTCTGATTGAAAGATATTCTAACCATATAAAATGCATATAGCTAATTTACTTGAGCTTCTTCCGCCTGAACTATTACCATTTATTTTAAAGTATCTTCCAGAACGGGATCTAAAAAATTCTCGCAGTATAAATAATATATGGGAAAGAGAGGCGAATCATGTATTATCCGAAAGAATGAAATTTCAAATGTGGGAATTGCCTCAAGGGAATTATATAGTAAAGAAATTTTATTCGAAATTGCAAGAGTATAACATATGCATAGGCTATCCTGAAGACATTCTTAAAATGCTATTTCTCGTAGAGCTATCATCTGAAAATAAGACAAAAGTTTATATGGATGGATTACTAGATCTTGCATTAGATGAGTTAGTGAAAAGGCTTAGTCCAGAGCAGTGATCTACCAGCGCAGTCTCATAGAGACCATCCCATCAGGCTCGGCTAATTTATTTTTTCGCTGATTAAAGATAAAATATAAAACACAAATCTATTATGGAGATGGATAGCCTCCTTGAGACAAGAGATACACTTAATTGGCTGGATCGAACATCTCTTCCAACTTCTCCGGCATTGGAACCTGAAAGAGGCAAAGATAGCCCAGCACCGGTTCAAGATGACCAATTACTAAATGAATTTTTCGAGGCATATAAGGCATATACTTCATTATCAAGTCCGGACTTACGTAAAGCAGAAATGAAAAAAGGTTTCTTTAGAGGCCTCAATCAAGAGGCAAAGATCGAGCTTACCCATGAGAAACCTTCAGATCCTTTCGAAAGGTTATGTGAAATTTTAGTTAAATTGGATGTTTCACTTTATCTGAAATTGCAAATACTGACCAGCTAATTTATTTTTTCGATTAAAGATAAAGCATATATTATTTATGACGCATACAAGTATTTTTATTATACCGGAACTATTGGAACAGGTTTTACATTTCTTATTGATAGATAAATCCCTCTATCCCGCTCTATATGTTAGCCGGTTGTGATACAGATGTGGTGCCCCTATTCTATGGAGACGCATTGAGCTAAAGAGAGAGGAAGCAGAGGATCGAACTCGATTAGAAAGATTTTTAAAAATAGTACCCAGAGGAGGAAGAAAGCCAGTTTATAGCTCGAAACTATCTCATCTTAAAATAGCACACTACCGTCCACTTTCAAATAAAAAAATCAAAGGCATTGTGCATACTTTCCAAAATATAATTCATTTAGATTTCGAAGGAAGTATGAAATCTGAGTCTGTTGGTAAAGTTCTAAAGCTAATAGCAGAATCATACCCAAATTTGGAGTATCTCAATATATCTGCTTTACGTAATATATTTCGACCGAAAAATGATAAAGGTCTAACTGCAATCGCAGATTCATGTCATAAATTAGAATGTCTAAATATTTCTAATCGCACAGAGTTTTCTGAAATATCAATTTGCAATGTTATTCGTTCTTGTCCAAGGCTCCGGCAACTTGATCTTAGCTGTTGTGAAATTACTGATATAACTATCGAAGAAATTGCTAGATCATCCCTTAATTTAAAATATCTTAATCTGAGAGGGTATTATATAATTAGTAAAGAAGCTGTAGATCAGGTCGTTTCACTTAATCCCAATATCAATATCGTGAATTTCGTGGATACTATAACGCCTTCTGATCTTATTGGAGTGGTTATAAATTATCTTACACAGAATAACGTTGCTAGTAGACAGATTTTAGCTCAGAGCCTTTTAGATCTAAGTATGCGAGATAATTTGCAGTGGTATTCTGATCCAGGTTTAGCTAGATCAATAGTCTAAAGCAATGATACAGTGGTTATATTTGAAGATCTATGTGCTGATCATTAGCTCAGAAGATTTTGCTGAGCCACAGGTTGTGTGACAAAAAGTAAGTGGATCAGCAGTCAGCCTCTTATGCGATATAATAATTTTTGCATATATTCGAAAAAAAACATATTAACCTTTGTTCTTTATTTTTTCCCGAACAAATGTGAGAAAAATGTGAAAGGAGGTCTAGTTGCAACATGGGGCCTACTGTAAAAGTAAATACTGATGGCAAAGCATATGTTATGAAAGACTGTGGACTCACAATTCCGAAATCGTCAGGCGTAAAACCAACTATATGTCTTTCCGGTAGATCTACATGTAAAAAGGTATGAAGATTCCATTTACATGTGCTTTCAAGGGACTCTTGGCATCGGGCGAAAATACTAATCACTTTTCTTATCTCCTTTTTTTCAGTGGAATATAAAGCATGTAGCAGTATGTAAAAGTTCCTGTTCACCAACTTTCCGCAAAATTTATAAGGTGCGTATATGTCAGAAGTTATGTATGTATGGGAATGAAAATTTCTCACTATAGGATATTGTATTTAGGAAAAACAAGATGTCTTCCTGGGCCAAAACGATAAAACTATGGGAAACTGAAAGACTTATTATCTTTTTGAGGAGTGATTCAAAATTAGAAGGCTTAAAACTTGACGATAACTTTTTTACGAAGCTTTGTGATGAAAATATCACTGGTGATTTATTTCTCAGGCTAACAGGATGGGATTTAAAGGAATACAGAATGACATTAGGACAGGCATTAGAACTTGAGGACTACATTAAGGAATTGTATGAGTAATTAAATGTTTCTTATAGCTGTATTTTATTGATGAGGTCCTCATTATCCTAATAGTCTTATTTTATAAATCAAGATAATCAAAAAGGAGCATTCGGAGTTCACCTTGTGAAAGGGTCTAATTCGAAATCAAGTGACCCCCCAACTAGTTAGAAATTTTTTATCTACAGAGGGTGGACAAAAGTATCTACACACCCTCTATAAACGCGAATTAATGCTAGAAAAGTCATATGACCGCAATAACAAATTGCGATCATATGACATGTTAGTGTTTATTTATATTATAAACATAAAAAAATAACAATTTAATTTTTTTTTTAATAAATTTTCTTCTCCGAAACTCTAAATAAAAAAAAAATGTTAAAAACTAAAGAATTAACTGCAGAACAACGCGGAGCCATAATTTATTGCTATCAATGTGGTAATAGTTATCGGATCATTGCTAATACCGTTGACTGCGGAGTGTCAACTGTTCATGACACAATTAATCGATATCGTAATACCGGATCAACCAAATCAATGCATCGTTCTGGACGTCTGCCTTTAATTCCAATCTCACAACGAAATCATCTTAAACGAATCGTGATGAATGATAAAACTAAAAATCGTCGTCTATGTGCAGCTGGAATACAACAGCTTTGGAAGAAGAAGACTAGGCAAGATGTTTCGACCAAGATGATTAGACGAACCCACCATTCAGCTGGATTAAAAAATTGTGTTGCAAAAAAAAAACCATTAATTTTACCAGCAAATATTAAGACGCGTCTTGAATGGTGTTTAGAACATCAAAGCTGGACTAAAGCGGATTGGTCGAAAGTCTTATGAAGTGATGAATCCACATTCTCTCAATTTTAACAAAGCCGCTCTAGTAAGGTTTGGCATGAACCGAAGGATGAATGGACTTTATCCTGTGTTACAGCTACAGTAAAACATAGCCCTAGTCGAATGTATTGGGGCTGCTTTTCAAGAAAAAGTATGGGGCCAATTGTTCCATTGTCTGGAATAGCAACTAGTAATTCACATGTCATCATTCTTCGTAAATATGTTGTTCTGGCCATGAGAAAATCTTTTCCAAATTATGATGACTGGTTTCAAGAAGATAATGCTCAGCCTCATAAATCAAAGGTTGCAATGTCTTTTTAAGTGGAAAGCAATCTTCGTACATTATCTTGGCCACCACAAAGTCCTGATCTTAATCCGATTGAGAATCTTTGGGCTGAAGTCAAGAAAACCATCTGAGCTTATAAAAAACCTCCATCTAATCT